GAGAGAGAGAGAGACTGTGAGCACGGGAGGGGCGGAGTGGGAGACACAGAATCCGAAGCAGGCTCCAGGCTCCGAGCTGTCAGCACAGAGCCCGATGCGGGGCTCGAACTCACAAACTGTGAGATCATGACCTGAGCCGAAGTCAGACGCTCAACTGACTGAGCCACCAGCACTTTTTTGATCGAAGCAGTTTCAGGCCAGCCCAAATGCAGGGGGGCGGGGGGAGGCACATGCCATTTCTCCATGGGGAGAGAGCAGGGAAGAATTTGTGGCCACCTGCAATCCATAGCAGGGTCGCATTCTCTGGCGCCCTCCTCGGGCTCCATTCCCTGCCTTGGCTATTCACAGGACACCCAGGAAACCCTCTCATCAACGTTAGACACGGCTGAGCCCGTTTCTGTTCCATGCAATGCGAGAGAGCCCTGACTCAGCTGATCATTCACCTCTGTCTCCTACCCACGGGGTGGCCTTGGTGTCCTGGGCTCACTCTTCAGTTCCAGGACCACCCTGGGCTCCGGGCCTGTGCCTCAGCTGCCTGGCAACTTGGCAGGGTCCTTCGCCCCTCTGGGTCCCCTGTCCACATCCAAGGAGAAGGATGCCGGTGTCGCCTCGCGGGCGCTGCAAGGTGGAAATGAGAAGATGCGTGGAGAGCACCCAGAACAGTGCCCACCCACCCCTTGCATCCAGAGTGCCTCCAGGGGGTGGTTCCCTGGCCTCAGGGACACATTCAAACCTGCCAGTTCCTGAGCACCTGCCTTGTTCCCATCTGGCACCCATGTTCCTCAAAACACTGCAGCCACTTGGCCTCCGGTGGTGGTGCCACTTGGGACACCCGTTCCCTGCTGGGAGACGGCCCCAGAGCGCACACGATGGCTCTGGCCCAGCTGTGTCACATTAATGGGTACCCATCCTCCAGCTCCGCCAGGGGGCAAAGACAAGGACAGCCTTGCCTCTGGCCTGAGTGCTCCAGGGCTCAGGGAGGTGAGGTGTGGAGGGTGGGGTGAGCCTGCAAGGCCCTGGGGACAGCCAGCCAGCTCCCTCCTTTAGTTCTGCAGCAAGCGATTGCCCAGCCCCCACACCAGGCCCTCTTCCAGGCCCCAGGGGTAGAACGGAGCCCAGAAACAGACACCAGTCCCTGCGCTCCTGGGCCGACATTCCAGCCTTACGGTATTTCTCCCTCTATGAGCCTGGACAAGCTGTCCCATCTCCCCGTGAGCTTTAGCTCCTCATCCGCTACACGGAGAGATAATCCAGAAACCAAGAGTAAACCAGGAGACTCTCCAAGGGGACGAATGGTGTCACTCAAGGACCAAAAGCTGTCAACACTTCCTTGATGAAGTCAGACAAGACAGAAGAGCGCCCCGGCACCTGTCTGGCCTGGCAGAGACCAAGCATCGGTCTCGGAGCCTCCAGGAACCGCCCCATGGAGAAGCGACAGCGGAGGGCTTAGTGGCTCCGTCTTTGGGGTCAACGGTCCTGGTGTGAGTCCCCAAGGCTCCTTGCCTGGGACAGACTCCTTCATTTTCTGACTTCAGCTTCCTCACCAGTAAACAGGGCAACGGCACCCTCCTCACGAGTGGTCGTGCTGAGGGCTCTCAGACGGAGGGCTTGGCGTAGTGGTGGCCAGCCCTGCGGGGCTCCCCGGGAGAGGTGGCTTTGCAGGGATCTGTGGGCTGTGCCTGCAGGGGAAGTCTGGAAGTGAGGGGCGTGTGGAGGGAGGTGGTGCTGAAAAGGGGCCTGTGACTCCGGGAGGGAGGCGCAGGGACGGTGAAGTCAGGCTGCGGGGCCCTAAGGGCAGTTCCGGTCTTAGCCTGCCCTCCTCCCTCTTTCCTTCCTCCCCTCCTTCCCTCCCCATTTACTGAGCATCGCCAAAGGACAGAGCATGGACCAGGCACTCAGGATAAAATGGAAAATGCCCGATGATCTCTGGCCTCGTGGTGCTCCCAGTCTAGAGAGGCAGGCAGACACTGGACAGAAAGCCTCCCGGGGAATCCGGCTGTGGTAGCCGGCTGAGGACTTAGTGTGCCTTATCAAGGGACCTTTCTTGAGAGCAAGGTGAACTTAGCTTTGCTGCCCGGGACAGGGAATGTTAAGCCCTGGGCACATAGTAGGTGCTCAGCAGATCCCAGTGGCCAATATCTTCCCCGGTCATCCTCTCAGTGGTCAGCAGGCCACAGCTCGGCAGAAGGTGGGCCTGGCCCCAGAGGAGCCTGGCCCCAGGGGGCCCAAGGGAAAGGGGGGCAGGTTTGGACCCCCACAGAGGGGCTGGTGGGAGCCAGGCATGGAGTGAGTGCCCCACCAACCCGGCTGGGGGTTGGAGAAGGTGTTGGCACAGGGAGACTGATCAGAACCCAGAGGCTAGAACTGACGGGCCCGAGGCTGTGGTTGGCCTTGTGCCGGGTCAGGCCTGGCTCAGGCTCCCGTCCGGGCTGAGCCGAGGTGGGCTGGGGAGATTTGGGGCCTCTGGGGCTGAGCCTTAGGATTTTCCAAGAGCAACATACCCGGAGGGGGCTATGTGCCCAGAACTCACCCATTTTGGAGTGGGAGAGGGCTGCTTTCTGCTTCCAACAGTCCTGCTCAAGGCATCCCACGGCAGAAGGGAGAGTCCCAGGGTGGCTGGTGGGAGAAGCAGGTCAGGTCAACCCCCCAGAGACTGGACCACAGGCACCGTGGGTCCGAATGGGCTGAGTTAGGGCTCTGGGTTGCAAGTGACAGAAACACCACACCAACCAGCTTTAGCACAAGAAGGGAGTTGATGGGACCCCGTGACGGAAGGCGCTGGCGGAGGGGCTGGGCTCCGCGATGTCGTCAGGCCGCCGGCTCTCTGCACCCTTGACTCCGGTCTCTACCCCAGTGGCCTCATGTCCAGCCAGGCCCTGCTCTCAAGAGGCCCCCACAGCCCAGACTCATACCTGGCCAGCTCTGAGTTCAGACTTCAGGCTCACATTGAGTCCTGTGCCCTCCCTCGAACCACCACCGTGGCCACGATTGAACAATCACCGTGGCCAGAACAATCTGAATGGGGGAGCCAGCTCTCATGGGACCATGCCGCTGGGCAGGGGCTGGGATCTTGGGGTCTTCCCGCCCCAAACTCCTGCCAAACTCCTCTCAATTCTCCCCACGTCCGCTTCAAGTCCCCACACCACCCACGCTCTCCATGTAATCCCCACATCTTTCCCTGTTCTCAGTTTGATTAACAGAAGGTTATAAACAAGTCCCAGAAAGAAAGGAAACCAGGGTCTCCCCAAGGCACCCACAGTCTATTGGCAGATGGCAAGTTACTTTGTAACCGATATTTTTGTTGTGTTGATTTCTGTATAGATAAACAGGACCAACCTAATTAGGATTTTTTTTTTCATTCCTGTCTTTCCCCAGGTCTTGGATTACAATGGGAGTCCCTTGGCCCCACAGTGAATTGGTTACCAGATTTCAATAAGGGGTTTGTCTTTGCAATTACAGTTCATTAACGGATTTACAAGGGAGGGAAGACGGCACAGTCCGCTAAGGGGATTGTTTTACATTTCTTCTCTTTTAATTACATGATTTTCTCCTGGATCAATGCTCTGTGAAAAATGATGGTGGTGGTGGTGGTGGGGGGGGGGAGTCCCAGCACCCCATCTGTTCCAGCTGCAAATGCAATTAATATGAGAGGAGATAGGAGCTGCCCGGAGGCTGCCTGCTGCCTGGGTGTGGGCCCCCCTCCTCCGGAGCTGGGCGGCTGGGTCACGGTCACGGGAGCTCCGTTCGCAGGACGGTTTGTTGATGTGGGAGGGGCCATCTCTGCTCCTGGGGTCAGAATCAGATGTAGGTCCCCCACTGAGTTACCTTTTTTCCATCGTCCACTAGGTGCGAGCTGTTATACACACAATTTTGAATTCAAACTTCCCAGTGATCTCTTGAATAAATTTGTTTTACAAACGGAGAAACCAAGGCTGCCAGAGGTAAAGTGCCACACAGCCAGTAAGCAGCAGGGCTGGGGTTTGAACCCTGGAATCTCTGGCTCCAAAGGCAGGACTCTTT